CTCTAAGGGGGGAGCGGTAGGAGCCCTCAAGGTTGTGGTTCAACCTTTTTTATTTTATTTTAAATTGCCTACCTAAATGACGAATCAAAAACTAGAAACCGACAATAAGGAAATATTAGATTCTACAAATGCTAAGACTACATAAATTCATTCCTATTAAAATAGCATGACAATCAGTATTGTTGAATTTTCTTTTCATCTCATTATTTCCTTCATACACCATTCGGTAATTGGACCAAGGTGAACAAATTGTAAAAAAAAGAATACTTTTAAAAATGATAAATTCGGTTCTTGAGCTAGGTATCCACGATTCTGATTTACGAATCAAGACCCATCCAGGACTCGATCGATTCTTGGTTCTTGATTCTAATTACTGGTTTAGTGGTTTTGTTTACTCAAGGCTCATTGTGCAACTACACCAAAATGTCAAAGACTAAATTCCCACTTGCATTATATGTTGAAAACCAATACTCGAGGCTAATTGTAAAACATGGATTGTAACTCTTTGTGGGCACTAGTGTACAGATAGTTCTTGTTCCCTGACCTGCTGAGGCATATCCCGAAATTAACTTCTCTCACGATATTCCAGGGACGGGACGGTGGGGGCTCTTACGGTTGGAGTTCAACCTTTAAATTGCCACTCGATTTATATGTTGAAAATCAATATTCACTTTTAATATCTATATAATGCGTACAAACTTGTGTATGTAACGAGGGGTAGGTTATGGAATTCAGTATCCTTTTCCTGAGTTTCCTGATTCATTCATTGATTAATTCGGCATTGGTGGATGTGTAGATTGTGAGTATCTTTGACTCATTTTTCGGCCACTACTCCCACTATTTAATTGGTTTTTTCACCAAATTACTTGAATTATGTACGTTGCTAAGCTAAATTTAGTTATAAAATATATTAGAGAAATTGTAAAAATTAAATGGAGAAATGTTCGTTCCTTTGAGGGCTGTCGAAGAGTTGGTAGAGTGTTGAATAGATTTGGTATTAATGGAAAAAAGGGACAGAAAAAGTGAGAAGTGAAAAATTATAGATGGACTGATGTACCTTGACGTACAACTACTCTCTGCTCCATTTGCTGTCTAACAGTACAGTTACGTCATGCATATATACATTTAGTGAGATGCCAACAATGTCGCTTTTGTGCGCGCGCCAGGGATGGAAACTGGAATTGAAGGAATAGACAGATTAATAAGATCGATTTCATGTTTGATTTAGCTATAAAAATTGATTAGATTAAAGTAAATAATTATCTTAAGGCTAATTAGCACAAAACGTCCCTACCTTTGGAAGTTTTTGTGGATAACGTCCCTACCTTTCGTTTTTTGGCGGAGAACGTCCCTATCTTTACCATTTTTTGCGCAAAACGTCCTTCTGTCAATTTCCCGTTAAAATGTTTCTTTAAATCAATTAAAATGGATCTTTTCTTTTTAAAATGCAGGGGTAAAATCATCTATCCAACATTTTCTTCACTGTATAATTTCTCCCACCTCTTTCTTCTTCAAATGTTCAAGAAAAAGTAGAGTAACATGAAAAAAAAATTTGAACAATATTATTTCATTCAATAAATTAAGGAAAATGACGTGAGAATGACTGCATTTCTGGTAGAAAATATTCATGACTGCTGTAATACTGATTGTTCAAAACATTTTGGAATGCTATATGAAAAGAATGAATATGTGGTTAATAAAAATGAGATGTTCATCCTCATTTTGTGCTTACGAAGGGTGTAAATAAGAGGTAAAGTGAGAAGGCCAATCAAAGTATGATTTTCTAAATGGACAATACATGTGATGGAGTGAAGAAGATGATGAAATATGAACGTGTTTTCTCCCCCATTTTAGCATAAAATTGAATTGGTGATAACAATCCCTACCTTGATATTGTCTTTGCAAAAAACATCCCTACCCTTACAATGTCCCTGCACAAAACATCCCTAACTTTACATTCTATTTGCGCAAAACATCCCTACCTTTGTTAAAAATTGTGCAAACCGTCCCTACGTATTTTGAGCCAAACAACCTGTCTAAACTGCAGCCAAATACAATTCTGTTTATCCCTGCAATTGAATGTCCGTAACACCTAGTTCGAACACAGCAAAATCAATACTCAACATCCAAGTTCAATAACAAAATGCAGTAAAATCAGCACTCAACAACCAAGCTCAATAACCAATCTAAGTAAAATGAGTACTTGACAATAATTAAAGAGTGCTCATTTCTGGATATCTAGTTTGGAGAAGAGAAAAGGTCACATAATCAGAAAGTGTCTATTTCTGTCCAGCTGTTCAAAATTATACACATCTTATTTACACCATTTATAAGCACAAAATGAGGATGGACATCTCATTTTTATTAACCACATATTTATTCTCTTCATATAGAATTCCAAAATGTTTTGAACAACTAGTATTACAGCAGTCCTAAATATTTTCTACCAGAAATGCAGTCATTCTCACGTCATTTTCCCTAGTTTATTGAATGAAATAATATTGTTCAAGTTTTTTTTTCATGTTACTTTACTTTTTCTTGAACATTTGAAGAAGAAAGAGGTGGGAGAGATTACACAGTGAAGAAAATGTTGGATGGACGATTTTACCCCTACATTTTAAAAAGAAAAGATCCATTTTATTTGATTTAACGGAACATTTTAATCGGGAATTGACAAAAAGACGTTCTGCGCAAAAAATGGTAAAGGTAGGGACGTTCTCCGCCAAAAAACGAAAGGTAAGGACGTTATCCACAAAAACCTCCAAATGTAGAGACATTTTGTGCTAATTAGTCTTATCTTAATCACAAATTTCACAATTTTTTTCAATCGCATGTTTATCAACTCTATTAAAATTTATTAAAAAATTGATTTTTATTTAAACCAAACAAGAGTCGGATTATATATCATATCACCATGTTTTCAAAAGAGGAAGAAAAGAAGACGTAGAAGATGAATTTCCACTATTGCATCGGAAGTTCCAAACTTGTAATTTCCTTTTCAATTTTTTGTATAATTTCGTTGAATGTTTGTTATATGTCTACATCCTTGAATGAATCAAAAACTCAAAATATAATTTTTTTCAAAATACGTAATTGGCTAGAAACAATTTAAGTTGAAATAAACAGTTTCAGTGGAAATTTGGACAAGGCTGCAAAACTCGTACAGCTTTTCCTTAAAAAGTCACAAAATTTGACGAAAAGATTTCTGGAAGAACATCATATGTAAATCAGAAGTGGCCAGTGGACAACCCAAGTTTCCAAAAGTTGTTCCATTTCGGATTTGAATTTTTGTTAACTTTTTACGACAATCCACTTTATCAATTATGAACAGTCAATAGAGAACCAATTGTTATAAATTTTGAAAAAAATTCGAATGATTGTCAACCAAAAAAATAAAAATAAAATCAACTCTCCTTGTTTACAAAATTTTGTCTACTCAGTCCTCGTCCAGGCTCCATTTTTATTTAAACTGCATTCTCTCCCTGTCTCTCTCTCTTTTCCAACCATATGTTCTTTAATAGAATAATATTACATGTAAATTCAAAACTTTTTCTTCCTTTTTAATCATACATTTTTTTTTCAAAAAATCACTATTTCAAAGTACGATTTTCCCCAAAAATTGATTTTAATGGAATCCAAACAAGACTAAATCTCACTATTAGCACGAAAATCGCACTAATTAGCCGGGATTGCATGGCAAGAAATTTTTAAGGGATAAAACTACTTTGTCGATTTTGACCGGAGTTTAACATAATTGCATGTGACAGTAAATGATTAGATGAAAAAGCTGACTATATTCTAAACTATCAAATGATAGAATGTCACGTAACATTATATCAAACTTTATGTCAACATTGATGTTTATATAGCATGATTGATCTTTAAGTGCAACTATTAACTTCTGAAAACATAATAATAATAATAATAATAATAATAATAATAATAATAATAATAATAAGACTATGTTTTTAATGTTTTCTCTCTCTATATTTTGCTTTTCTAACCTCAAGTGGACCATTGCAGAAGATTTTAGTCAAAACAAATCTTGCCCTTTATTTGATTTAGATAAAAATCAGATTTTTAGTGTATTTTAATAAAAATTGATGAAATATACGGTTGAAAAATTATAAAACACAAGAGACATATGGTTAAAATTTATTATTAACTTTGACTTTAAAGCCAAACCAAACGATGGCTTAATATCTAGTTTTCAACTTATTTGTAATCATTGTAATTACACAACATTTTAGACTATCCTTAGCCGTAGTAGGGTAAAATTATTAATAATTTTTTAAGATGAATAATATTGGATTCCCATGAAACGTATGGTTAATACATAGATAATAGTTGTGAATGTGTAATTGAAATTAATATTAGACTTGGACTCTTACCTAGCCAAAAATCGTACGATAGAAAGTTATAAGCTACATTTGAAAATGATGTATCACTTTCGAAAAGGTGTCTAATGGTTCTCTTTGAATTGGTTGGACCGTGAGCCTTTCAAATTGAGTACAACATTCTCATGCACCAATTCCACATGTTAGGCGTGGCTAGTATTCTTGATGGCTTCAAGACTCAACATTTTTCAGTAATTTTTAATTTTAAATGAGCAAAGATTAAATACAAATTTTATTTATTTATTTTTATTTAAAAATCGGCTACCCCACCTTACCTAATATGCGAAGATTAATTGATAGGGCTTAGTAATTGTAAGAAGACTTTAACTTTGATTGATTACGACGCATTTCAACTTGAAGAAATAATTACACTGAAGCCAATTGAAAAGGCCCTTTCTAAAGTGTAATTTTGAAAATATCCAATAATAGTGTTTTTTAATAAAATTTTGAATAATGGTGTCACGGACTTATTTATACGGGTATTTAATTGTCTACATTTAAACATGGAAAAGAAATTGTAAAAATCGCCGAGTAGAAGGGTCAACAAATCGGTAAAAGATCGCCCACCTCCCACATTCTTATACGTAACTCCAGACCACTACTCTCTCTCTCTCTCTCTCAGACATCAGCTCATCGTAGTCTGTGTCTTCCTTTAATAAAGAGCTTTGGCTTCTTCATAACGAAACAAATTTCTCTCTCTCTAGGTCTCTGTTAAAGTGCGTGCTGGTGTGTGTGAGTGTGTGAAGGTGAAGGATCTCATGGAGTACGAGAGGATACAAAAGGTTCAGGTATGGGTTCTTCCGTGCACCCAGGAGAGACACATTCATCCGTGCTTCCATTTTCTGAGAGTTGTTATTTTACACTGCTTGGATTTTCCGAAATAAATTATTGTAATACTCCTGTTTTGATGCATTTTACATGTTTTCATGACCTGGAATTATACCAAATTTCCCAAAATTTCCCATGGGACTTCAAAGATACACGAGATTGGTTCTATTCAACGATTCTTTTCGATATTCTTTTGAAATACTCTTACGTGGGCTGCATTTAGAGTTCTGTGATTTGGGCAAAAGATGCTTAGTTTTTTCGAATTTTTTAATGTAGACTGGTATGATATCTCCAAGTAGATTGAGGATGAAACTAATGGGGCCTCAACATCCGAAGAAAAAGGAGGAATCAAACTGTGGCTCTTCAAGAACATCTCCTGCCAGGCTCGAGGATTCCAAGTTAGTGAAGAACAGCCTGTTGGCAACCCAAAGTGGAAATTTTGATGAGGAGGGTATGAAAAGATGACCCGTCTGGAATTTTAACTTCAAAGCTTTATCTTGATTTTTTTTTGTTTGTTTATTATTTTTCAAGTACTGAAGGACCACCTCAGTCCGTGGCTTATGCCCATGATACACAGTACTGGTCCACTGGATAGCAGAGTTATTTTTCCTTTCATAAATCTAGCCGGTGGTGTTGAATCCTGCCTCACAGATATGTCAAAACTGTTTTAATTACCACCTGGTAGTTATTGTTACATGTTCTAGAATAAATTCTAAGAGAAAAATGCTTTATTTGCTCAACTCTAGCTATCCTTGTAGCGATATGGATCCTTAAACGTGTTCTGGTGACATACCTTGTATTAACAGACTGAACAGTTAATTGTTTTGACACTTGAATATATGTTGCATGAACTTTTCGATCCTCTGCCTCCCATTATTGCAGCTTGCAGTTTAGAAGTTCCACCATTTAAGTATGGTAATTTGCTGTCAGACGCTGACCACGGTGATTGCAGTTCCTTCCAGCAGAAGGAGCATACCCTGAGGGAAAATGGGAATCCTAGCAGTGCAAAAATGCAGCTCGTCCCGAAGTCTGATAGCAGCAATTTGAGTTTAGTACACCCCGTCAGAACATATGAAGATGAAAATCTTGATTATGATAGTACATCGAGCTTTGAATTTCACAAAGGGGAGAGAACACAACACCATTCCGTGGCACGGTCATTCCTGGGACCTATGCCTTCCAAATGGAATGATGCGGAGAAGTGGATTATGAATAAGCAAAACATGCAATCTAACCACTCAAAGAAGACGAATATAAATCCTCATAACCAACCGAACCGGATGATAGCTGTGAATTCGGTTCGAGTTGATCCAGAGTCCACTAGTTATGAATATAAGTCATCAGTTAAGAGGGTAGAATTTAGTCAACCTGCATCAGGGACAGGTTCAGGTAATTTTGGTTCAAATTCAGTGAATGGAACGAATGCGTTAATTGATTTCTGCCCTGAAAGCAAGGATTTGACGGAGTTTGACAGTACAGGATTGTCTTCTACAAAGAGCACTATCGAAGATGCTACAGGTGATTAAATGTCTTATTCATACCTGAGATATATTAGAAGTTTAGCCATATTGAGCTTCGTACATGTAGACTCCAGAACTCAATGTTTAGCCTCTAAAAAAACACGTGAAAATGTTTTACTTTTTAAATATGAAAAATTGGTAGTCATATTTGTGTAACGTTACAAAGCAGGACATAGCTAAATATAAGGGCCTGTGTGGCAGTGCTTTTACTTCTACTTCTACTTCTTGTAGAAGTGCTTCTAAAGAAGTTACATCAAGCCAATTTCTTCTAAAAGCTTTTTTAGCCCGACAAAACACACCAGAAAATTGTCCAAATAGGTCCAAACGGAGCTTCTGGTACCAAATGGGTCCTAAATATATCTCCTATGTTGTCTTGGCATTTTCTTACTGTATGCAAGAAGTGTTCGATCTAATTTGCTATGGAACTTTAACCGTCTAGCTTTTGCTCATGTCATTACAGCGTCATGACACTTCAAGTAACTACTTCCGTTGTTTAAATTCCAAACTCTTACAAAAGCATCTTCCTGAATTATGCAGGCATTCCTTCCGTAAGGGCAGTTTCAATGAGAGACATGGGAACAGAAATGACTCCTATTCCAAGTCAAGAACCTTCAAGAACTGCTACTCCAGTTAGTGCCTCAACCCCACTCCGCAGCCCAATTTCATCTACACCATCTACTCCTCGTAGAGTGGAGCCAGCACCCACACCAACAGAGCATTCTTTTGGCAATGCATTAGAATATTCTACTGCAAACAGGAAAAAAGAATCTTCCGAGTTAGACCAAAAGCTCAAGACCAGAAGAGAGATTGTAGCCCTAGGTGTCCGACTTGGCAAAATGAACATTGCCGCTTGGGCAAGTAAGGACGAGAAAGAGAAAAGTATATCTGGAAATGAAATTGTCAGAGCAGATGATGTTCGACAAATGGAGTATTCAAAACGAGCAGCTGCATGGGAAGAAGCTGAGAAGTCCAAACATGCCGTCAGGTTCCTCCTAAAGACTCAGACTGAAGTTCGATTAGGAACATCCTTTGAACTCTTATTTTATCACTTGAAGCAACTTATTGACTGAAATTGAGTTGCATTGTCAGGTTTAGACGAGATGAAATAAAAATTCAAGCATGGGAGAGTCAACAGAAAGCAAAGCTTGAAGCAGAGATGAGGAAAGTGGAGGTATCTTAGCTTCTTTTAATCCCTTCTCTATAAATTCAAAACAAACTATACATCATAGTAATTAAGCCTGTGGTTGGTTTGGATAAAAATTAAATTTTTAGTGGATTTTGATGAAAATTGTTGAAATGTATGTTTGGAAAGCTGGTAAAAATTGTAATCTTATGAAATGAGTGGTTGAAAATAAGGTTGAGGAAAAATGAGCTTTAAGAAATGGGCCCCAAACACGGGCTAAAATTCTTGAGTACATGATATATTTATTAGATAATAGAAGTTAGAACCCAAAATATTTTTCCTTGAGAGAGAAATTTGATGAATTGCTTCCAATTTTTTGACACTTCATTTTGAATTTAAGCTATATATGGATAATTTACACTGTCAGTTTGGTATTGGATTACATTTGATCATCACATGCGGAGTTTTTTTTTTTTGGCTATCAAAACCACATAAATCCCCTATGATTATTCTCTGATCATATTCTGTTGAGAAGTTATAAAGTTTTCTTCAAGCTTTTTATGATGAAATTGAATCGAATCAAATATAAAGGATATTTTGGCATTGTTAATGTAAATGAAAGTGGTTTACAGGCAAAAGTTGAACAAATGAGAGCACAAGCTCAAGCAAAAATGGTAGAGAAGATGGCATTGGCAAGGCATAAATCCGAAGAATTGCGGGCTGCCGCTGAGGTTAGAAAGAGTCGCCAGGCCGAGAAAACTGCTGCACA